GCGTGCACTTACGTCCAAGGATTCGATGTTGCGTTTCTGGCCGCTGATCTCGGCTTTCTTGACGATCTTCTTCTTCGGGCGGGTAGGGCGAGTCTCTCCCGGTTGGAACACATCCTCGGGAAGATCAAAGCTGACGGGAGTTAATCGGAAACTTATGCTGCAGGTAACAGGCCACTCACTTGCGGACGTGGGTGATCGCTAGATCATTGATACCGGGCTGGTATCCTGGCCACGAGGTACACGTCGACTTGAAGATCTGGGCATCGGTCGAGATATCCAGCGACCGGGAGGCACCTACAAAGTCAGTGGATTCACAAAGGTGGCCGATCCTACGTACCTGGCTCGAGTGGCTTGAGCTCCAACCCGATATAGTAAGTCGTTGTGTACATGACGTGAGTGTCGTCAACGGGCTTATTCTCAGCTGCTGCAACATCAGTGTTCTCTGCCCCGTTCTGAGCCGCAGCCTGGTGGGCCGCATCCTTCATCTCATCGGTGGTCTCAGTCTTTGTTCCCTTATCTTGGTACTTGGTAGACCCGGTCTTGACAGCCTCGATTTCCTCCTCCGAAGAGACACGATGAACTCTCTCGAATCCCTTCGGGAAGGGGTGCGCGATGGCGATGGTTGCTTTCCTGTCCAGAGCTCCAACAAGGTGTCTGATCTTAGATTCAACAAGACCAGACCAGACCGACTCTGCCTCCTTGGTTCTGCTCGATGCGGTGATGCTGAGGTAGTATTTGTAGTCCTTCGTGAAGAATGTGTGTCGCGCGAACAGATCTTCCCAGCGCAGCTGTTTCAAGAAAATCTTGTCCACGATGTCTCCACCACGCTGGAGTTCACGAAGAATGACTGCTTTGGTGGACATGGAGACGTTGTGGGTCGCACACATGGAGGGGTAGGCAGGAGTGATGATAGGCATCAGGTGGAAACGGTCGCCGTGGTAAATCTATTTCTCATTAACGGCCATGCCAAAGCTCCTATGTGCTCCTGGGCCTTATCCTTACCTTCGGATTCCAGACCTTCATCTGCAGAGGCCCATCTTCAATCGGCTTCAATAGAACCGGCTGAGGCCAAGCCCACTTGTTCATGATCCGGAAGAATTTGCCCACAATCACCGAGCCAGTAGCCTGGGGGTACAACTGACACACTCTCGCGACTAACATGGCCCAAGCAACACCACCCGGGAAACCGACAATGTTCGAATAAATCGCACGGCCTGTGAAAATTTAGTAAAGCCCATCTTAGACAAGAGTAGAGCGCTTACGCTGAGCCCAAAGCTTAATAGCGCGCAAAGCAAGTCGGAATGTCTTCTGCTGGGGCACGAGCTCCAAAATCTCGTCCGTCACACGAGTGCCATTAAGCGACCGCACCTCCCTCTCATCCAAACCCCGCAAGTAGTCATTGTTCTTAAGATCCAAGTTCATAGGAATGGAAGGAATGATCAGGCGAGCAAAGATCAAATCGATACTGATGCCGGACAATTCGAGTTTGATGATCGGAACGTAGGCGTCTGGGACCGGAGTCATCTTTTCGATAGCTCCCGGAGCAGCCATCTTCTCTAAAATCGGGGGGAAATCCGAAAAGAAATCATCGATAATAACATGCTTTGGGCCGACAACCAAGGTATCAATATCCGAGCCTGGTCCATAAACACCCAGGCGATAACTTCCGTACGTGAAGATCTTCCCACCGGCGGCCTCGACAGCTGCTTGAGAGAGGCCCTTCTTCCGACTGACTGTTTTGACAAATTCGACGGTAACACGCTGGATGAGCTGCAATACTTGTTTCCTAAAGCGCAATTGCATGCTTAGCGCCCATGCCGGTTGACCTTCACGAAACCATCACGGATCGGCCTCTTACCTTCGCTCCGTCTCCGCAGGGCTCTCGAAATTATTCTGCACCTTCAACTCCGTGATAAGATCATCGTTTGCTGCAAGCTCGTCGGGGGTCGGTAGAACGGTGGAGATGGGAGGGGTAACTCCCCATTGTCTGACTGGTGGTGCCGCCATACTGAAAGTGTCCAAGTGAAATGAAGTATTACAGAAGCATGCGCTTGCGCCGTCGACCAACAGAAAGCAACTCGGCACAAGAACGGGATGAGAAAGGAACGACTGAAGAAGAAAATGAAGATGTACTGAGACAAAAGAGATATCTGACCGACGAACCAAAGACGAAAGAAACCAGCGAAAGGAAAGGGACGAAGGGAGCAGCGCAGAGGGATCGGAGTTGGGAATGAGGAGGCGCTGCCTGGCCGAAAAGAGCAAAGGTTTATCGCCTGCTGACTCAGCCTATCAGCGATCACGTGTGGCTACTAATAGGTATGTAACACTGGGGATGGAGGTGTCTAGACGCCACCAGCTGTTTTAATTTTGTGTATATTCAGTCTGGCTATATATATGTGTTGTGGCAGCGAGTGAATGAAAGAGATGTTGACTACAGATAAAGTAACACCAGGAAACTCGCTACAGTACTAAATCCTCAGTGATGCCGATCAACAACCAATCACTTGGCGTGTATCGATAACACAGTCTCCCGCTTATCGGAGGCAAAAGAAGAGGAAGACAAAGACATGAACAACATTCAATTCTTGTCAAAGAACTCAGCCAGCTGCTCATCCAGCCATTTGACATCCTCTTTGCTTTGCCCTGGACCGCCAGCCCAGTCTACAACAGTAAATGTTAGAGTAGATTTTTGTTGATACGATATGGAACACACTTACGTCCCCAGATCGAAGGAAAGACCTTCAGAGTCCCAGTCCCTCGCTGCATGAAAGCAACCTCGTATTCCGAGTCTTCCGGTCTGTGGACGGGTGTCAGCGGTGACCATGCCTAAAAGGACGGTACTTACGGGAAGTAAAGGTCCGTCTTGCTGGGTAACACCAGGGTTTTGGCCTTGATGGCGCCCAATGCTTTCTCAAAGTTGCCATTGTACGGCTCCTGTTTGGACACATCACCATTCTGCCATGTTTGCAGCATCGTCAAGAGGTTCCCAGGATCTAAAGCCTGTCAGTAACAAACACACATCGGTACAACACAGCACCATGCTGCTGACCGACCTTTAGAAAGCGCCCAAGTTTCCCAGAAGTTCTGCATAAAGTCCTCTAGATCCTTGAATCCCAAGGCGGTTTCATACAGCTTTTCCCGGTAAAATGCCTGTGAGAATCCCCTGCACCAGTCACTGCGTTAGCATACCAGCGGCAGACAAACAAAGGTCGGCCTGGCCCTTACCATCCTGCATACCCCCTGCCAAACGCTTTCAAACCAACCTCCTTTTCTGTGTCACTCCAGGTCCGCAAGGATTGCTCGGCCTGAAGGAGGCCGCCATTGCCGGACCCCGCCGATGGGATGTGCTTTGCAGCCAGCAGTGCACTCTTGACGCCCTCCAAAAAGATCTTATTATGAAGGGAAGTTCTTGCAGAGCCACAAAAAGGGACCGCCAGGTCCATGAAATCAGGGTACTGGGTGGCCCATTGGTAGGTTTGGGCTGCTCCCATCGACCACCCAATCACTGCCCTCACATGAGTGATCTTTAGATGCTGTGTCACTAGCTGGTGTTGGGCACGGACGTTATCATAAAGTGAACATTTTGGGAAATGTCCGGGATGGGCGTAGTTTGATGGAGAGGTCGATTGACCGTTGCCGAACAGCGCAGGGACGATGATGAAGTATTTCTTGGGGTTGAGGGTCTTGTCCTCTCCGATCAGCCAGTAGTTGTCGGAGAGCACTAAGTGAAATCAGACGATTGTTAATCAATCAAGAGCAGTCTACAGACTGTTTGGATATTTCAGAGATGTTACATACATCCAGAAAACCAAGAAGGATAGACAATTGCGGGGGAGGCGGGGTCTCCGAAGGTCTTGTATGCAAGGTGAGCATCAAGAAGCTTCTCTCCGCTCTGAAGCTCCCAGTCGCCCAGTTTGAAGGTCTCGTAATCTTCCTGCGACATTTTGAGTATGCAAGTTTATTGAACTTGGGTGGAAAATAGGTTGCGCACAGGTGCAAACTGATGCAGTGATGCAGCAATGCGTGAGGGGATGGATGGGGGGAAGATGGTGCTGATGGGCTTGGTCAATTGGCGGCTACAATCGGGCTGGTAAGTTGCCGAATCCCCTCCTCTCCTCATGTCTGTCTCTCTGTTCTAATCAAGGCTAAGTGTGATTATTGCCTGCACTTTCTACTACTATTATCTATCAGCCAGCTTATCACATGGTCTCTTGGAGTGGAGGTGCTTATCGGATGTTATCTACGGAGTATCCTGATAAGCCATTGCTGTCTCGCTGTCTGTGGTGCCATCGTCTTGCTGCTACTCTACAAGATGCTGGCAACCGGATATACCTGCTCAAATGCTATATTAAATTTATATGACACCTGCTATTTTATGCTCCATGGAAGCATCTGGTATAATTCAAGGACCCAGACTAGGCGCACCAGCACACATGAGATTCGCCCAGCTTGTCAACATCTATCAATAAATCCAAAGGTGAGAGTTGAGTCTCCAGGCAAGTACATGACTATAAGTCATTGTAGCTAAAGAAAAAATTATCAGCCATTAGGGGGTTTGTGTTCCAATCCATAAATAAGTAGTATACCGTATCCTGTTGGGGCTGAGCCATTGTAGGGCTTCTACACTATCCATCCAGACAGGTCCAGGGTATTGAATGAATGATGACCATGGACAGACTTCCCATTGTTTGGGAATATATGTGCTGCAGCCAAAACATTTTTGGAAGAATGACATAAGTCTCTCTCCTAGTAGTATCTGCCAGGATTTTACCGCGCAGTCAAGCTAGATCGTACGTACTAGTCATGCCGGCCTGTCACTGGTTAGATAATCGCCTTCCAGTGAGTCATTCATGCTACACCATACAATCCCACCTGCAGGCATCTCTAGTTAACAGAAACAGATATCATCATTCAAAATATCATCTTGTTTTCTATTTAGCTTAGAAAGATAGGAGTTTCAATTGAATTCATACATTTACTCAGTATATCACCCCTCCACCATGTCGACCACCACCAAGAAAACCCTCCTCCTCGGCGCCGGCTTCGTCTGCGAGCCCGTCATCCAAGCCCTCTCTGAAGCAGGCGTTCACGTCACTGTCGCCTGTCGCACTCTGCAGAGTGCTCAGACTCTAGCCAGCAACTACAAAAACACAACAGCCATCGCCATCGACGTTTCCCGCGACGCTGCGGGCCTGAACGACGCCATCACCAACACAGACATCATCATCTCCCTCATACCCTACATCTACCACGCCACAGTCGTGGAGGCCGCTATCACCCATCGCAAACCCGTCGTCACAACCAGCTACATCTCCCCCGCACTATGGGCGCTCGATGAAAAAGCCAAGTCCGCAGGAGTGACAGTGCTCAACGAAATCGGTCTAGATCCGGGTATCGACCACCTGTACGCTGTCAAGACAATCGACGAGGTGCATCGTGCGGGAGGGCAGATTCGATCGTTTACAAGCTGGTGTGGTGCACTTCCTGCTCCTGACAATGCGGATAACCCGCTGGGGTATAAGTTCTCGTGGAGTCCGCGGGGTGGTCTTCTTGCATTGTTGAATTCGGCACAGTGGTACAAGAATGGGGAGCTGGCTACGGTGGAAGGGAAGGACTTGATGGCTGCTTCAGAGCCACAGAGTATAGTTGATGGCTTTGATAACCTGGTTGGGTTTCCGAATCGGGACGCGGTTGGGTTTCGTGAATTTTATCGTATTCCTGAGGCGGGGACTGTATTCCGCGGGACTCTGCGCTATGCCGGGTTTCCAGAGATTATTCGTGCCTTGGTGGCTATTGGGTACTTCTCGCAGGATGAAATTCCTGCGTTGAGCGTGACATCGTCCGCCGCTGTTACTTGGCTGCAGTTGACTGCACAATTGCTGGGTCTGTCGGTCGAATCCTCCGAAGGAACGGTACAGGATGCTGTAGCGGAGAGGGTAGCTTCTTTTCTGTCGACCGAAGAAGTCAGTCGTGTGATCACTGGTCTTCGTTGGATTGGCTTATTCGATGCGAGTGCTGTGGGTGGGCGTGGTACGCCTCTTGACACACTGTGTGCAGTATTGGAGCGGCGGATGGCCTACGAGCCAGGCGAGAGGGACATGATCATTCTGCAACATGCGTTTGACATTGAATATGCGGGTGGGTCAAAGGAAAAGAGGACGAGCACGCTCGTTGAATACGGAGAGCCAACTGCTCCCGGGTCGCGCAGTGCTATGGCGAAATTGGTGGGATTGCCTTGTGCAGTGGGCGTACTGGCAGTGTTGGAGGGTCGGATTTCGCAGAAGGGAATGGTGGCACCGTGGACGACTGTAGAGATAGCGCGTTTGCTGCGTGAGGAACTGAGTGAGCGGTTTGGAATTGAGTTACAGGAGAGGGTTGTTGGATAGTTTTGAAGTCGATCGCAATGCGATATTGAACCGAGCAGCAAATTATGTTAGCTCCGTAATTGCCAGTATCTGACCAACATTGATCTGTCCTATACATGAATTCTTGTCTATGCGCAAGGGCTGCAAGCATGATGAACCGTGCTGCCAGGTCAATCCCCCAACAATAAAAGCAAGCGTCCAGTGTAACGCATAGCTTTTGACGGACTAGTCAACTGAGCGGCCAAATTCACTGCGATCATAATTTCTAACTGTTAGCTTGTCTACTGACAAATTCACCAACCCGCGAGATCAACAGGATCAGCCGTCGCGACAATGGCACTGACTGTGATCCCGCGGGCTTATCTCAAGCCTTGAAGGCCTGTGCTTTTCTTCCCGCCGGGCTCGGGCAACAACCCGACCTAACCTGGGGGTGAATCAACGCCCCCAAGCTTACTGCAGGCACACCTGCTGCAGGAATGTTTCACAGTGCTTCAGATGCAGCTTCTCAGAGGCATGTAAGCTGCTGGGCTGACTGACTGACTGACTGTTAAGCGGATCCCCGCACGGCTACCATCCGTCGATGGAACTGGGGAATTCGCCCTATCCATCCCTTATTCCCTCCCTCTCCATCAGGGTCGGTCTGCAATCTCCTATTTCGGCCGTCAAAGCGGTGGTCATGGCTCGGACTGTCCTTTCCTCCGTCTTGCCTATCCACTGGGTAATTTCTTCACTGTTCTAATCGACTAGTTTGTGGAGCAAGACGACTGCTGCTAGAGGATAGTCATACGCGCCAAGTCACGCCCTAGCCGGTCTCATTTCACACCATGACCAGCTGCCATTTTCGTGGCAGAATCATCAAAGAAATCACAGCATGGGAAGAAGTCAGAACAATCAGAGTCGACTGTGGATTCATACATAATTATAGATCTTCCCCGCACACGAGGAATGTCCAGCCTGCATGTTATCTGTGGCTGAGCACCGTCAGCCAAAAACGAGAGAATGATCGTCGTGAGGGAACTGCTCCGTGGCAGGAAATGAGGCCGGACGCTACTAAACAAGCGCGATGATCCACGACCTCACGCCATTCGTCCAATCACTCCAAAACCTGCAGTCCATCAGCCACCGGCGTGTGTTCAATCGTGATGGTGGTTGCAGGCTGATGCATGAGCACCCGTTCTATATTTGTCCTCCTTTTTTTTCTGGCTGGGTTTTCTTAGTAGTCTTTAGTTGTTTAGTCTAGAGTCCGTCGTCGAGGGTTTGTCCATCCTTGCTTATCACAAAACACCTTTAATATGTAGCTGTCGCATTCCTCACTCCACTGTCTGCTGCAGGCTGTGTTCTGCTACTACTTTACCCTCCGATTCCAGTGAATTAGCTGCCTTTCTAGTACCATTCCACACTCAATTATGATCTACTAGAAAGTTTTCCTACTACCCCATGATAGAGAACCCACAGGATCAGTCGTGAGCGACCATTTCGCAACTATGGCATATACCGTCGCTTCCACGGCATCAATGAGCACATATGGCTGGGATTCCACTCCAACTCTCTCACCACATTACTACAGTCTATCTCAGCAGCCATCACCTCAACCATCACCGCAACCACAACACCACCAACAGCCACATCTACAGCTACAGCTCCAACAAGATCAAACCGACCAAGAAACAATCAGCACATTCTGGCGATTCCTAGCCTCAAGTTCCTCCTATCTCGTGCTAGCAGGGTACGCAACCAACCCTACCTTCAATATTCAATCAACCTCCAACCTAACCCATCCAATTCAAAAACAATAGCTTCCTAGTCCTCCCCCTAGCATTCACCACCACCACCTCCTCCTCCTCCAACAATAACCCCAACAATGAAAATACAACAACACCATCCACCGACCCAACAACCACCATAATCGCCGCATCAGTCCTAATCGCAATCGGCTACACAATAACCCTCATGCTAATCTTCTTTCAAAGACACGAGCGCCAATACCTCCTCCACTCTATATACATGTACATTCCCCCCTCTCACCCTCCACATCCCTAATCAATCACGAATCATCCATTAACATAAAATTACCCAAAAAACAAAGACCAAACACAACAACCTCCCTCCTCTCCCTCCTCAACATCCTCCTCAACATCCTCTGCCGCCATCCAACCCAATCGCCCGGCCCATTATCCCCGGTGCAAACGACCAGCCTCGTGCTACCCAGTGTGTTCGCATTTCTGTATGCTCTGGGCGCGTTATCCATTTATGCAGGTGACATGTGCATCTTCACCACTACCACCACCACCACCAGCAGTGATAGAGGCCGCCAACGGAATAATTATAAGAAAAAAGGCAAGAACAATCAACTACTACCACTAACAGAGGAGGAAATGCAACGGCAGCAGCTGCAGCGATTGCTGGATCAGAACTCGAGTCCGAGACGTGGACCCAGTCCGAGGGTCGTGCAGAAGACGTTCCGTGTCAGTGCGCCGGAGAGGATTAATCCTGGGAAGGGGTGGGATACGTTTACGCCGGATTTGAGGGTTGATGGGGGTGGCAATGGGAATGGAGGTGAGCATGGGGGTGGGGGTGGGAGGTGGGTGTGATTATTATTGACTGTTTGGTTTTGGGGGGTGGAGGTTGAGGGATGGGATGGTTGGTTATGTTGATGTTGAGGTGGCCTACTGAGTGATAATAATAATATGAAGATAATGTGTCAACTGACTATAATTTATGGATGGTATGTCGAGTGGTGATATGCGTGGTGTTTGCTAGCTACGTTGCTGCACCCTCATGAGGCTATTCTATTGTATACTACATAGCCTTATCGCATGTCACAAGAATACGGAATGAGTTACTAACTACTCTTCAAGAGAACTGGCATCCTCAGTGTAAGTTCACTTTTGACTTTTCATATACAGACACAGATATCAGATGTTGCTCTATTCCATTTTGCGATCTCCAGACTTCTCTTTTTACCAGAAAAATCTATTGAAAACACTGTTTACGCAACGCAGGTCTAGTGAGCATTATAATACACCAAAAAAATTCCTTCATCACTTCCCCATCTATTTGGAGATCTCAACACCACCGGTGGCACCGAGGACACGCTTGATGTCACCGTAGATGGCGAACTGACCAGCAGTCAAGGTACCAACCATGAACAGACGAGCACCGATACCGGCGTAGGAGCCACGGAAGCCGAGCTCCTTACCGATCTTGATCAGACGGGAGACGGTACCCTCACCGGGCTCACCAGGGGTCTTGTTGATCTTGGAGAGCATGGTGTCGGCGGGCTGGGAGACAAGGGCAGCAGCGAAACCAGCAATGAGACCGGAGCCAAGGTTGATAGCAGTCTTGGTACCATCGCTAGCGGTGTTCTTGTCGACCATACCGTAGATAGCCTCAGCAGCCTTCTCGAAAACGACGAACTTGGCCATGGTGTAGGGAACCCTGAGAGATTTTTAGCATATGACTTGGTGTTTCTGCTGCATCAAGGGAACTTACTGCTTGAAGAGGATAGGACCGAAACCAGAGTAGAAAGCACCGACACCCTCGTTCTTGAGGATCTTACCGAAACCGCTGACAAGACCGGTAGCGAAAGTGGGCTGGGAGACGAGACGGATACGGGTGGCCTCAAGAGGGCAGAGAGCGATATCAGCGAAGAACTCAGCGGCAGCGGAGGAAGCAAGGTAGACAGCGGTGCGGTTGTTGGAGGCAGTCTCGAGACCGAGCTGGTTGATCCACTGCTGCTTGAAGAACTCGTAACCACCGAACTTGAAAGCACCCTGGAGGAAGTAACCGGCGGCGGTAGGGCCGAGACCAGTGAGGAGAGCGCCAGCACCCTCGTTGGCAATGACCTGACGGAAACCACCGATCATACCACGGTTGTAGGTGACGGGGTCAAGCTGGATTCTGGTCTTGACGCTGCAGGACGAAAGAAGAGCACGTCAGCAACGGGCTTCTGGATAAGGTGGTCGAGATGGAACAACAATCGAGTCGCACACTCGGTCGGAACAAGGCGCGATCGAAAGCGACAAATCGACAAATCGACAAACGGCGACATGATCCGACTTACACATCGACAGGGGTGAGAGCACCGTGGGTGACGGAGCAGCAGACAGCACCAGCGAAGGCGAATCTGGAGTACAGCTGGAGGCCGGAGAGCTGGGGAGCAGCAGGGGCGGCAGGCGCCTCCACCTTAGCGTTGGCAGCCATTTTGTGTGTATGGGGGGTATATGAAAAGAAGAACAGAAAGAAGGGAAGAGAGGAGTGTGGAGAAGAGAGGGAAGAGGAGAGGAGAGCGAAGCAATTGAAGCTTTGCAGAGTTTGGGAAAGAGAGGGAAGAAAATGGAGACCCGGAAGGAAGAGGATTTGAAAGGGATGGCCGGCGGGCTGCTTTGGCACTAGCGGCACCCGAACCCGAAAACTTTTCGCGGCCAATGCGTGCCTTGCCACAAAGCCTTTAAATCCGATCGCCCGGTCAACCAACAAATGAACGAGCGAACAATAACCCCGTCATTGAGCACCAGCGTTATAGTCCCCATCTGATTGACAGCCAGAGAGGACCAATCTCTCCCTCCGTCATAGCATCGAATTGTTTTTGTGTTTGATGTGTTGTTGAAGATCGGTCACCTGCGGTGTTCCACCCTTAACTCCGGTTCTTCCGGGCAGGGTCTTCATTAGGGTGACTAGGGTCAGGTGCAGGCCAGGTTAGACGGGGAAATGGCAACAATCTTCTGAACTATAACGGGGATTTCTATAGTAGAGTATCTTAGAAAATGACTTGCTACGATGTGCTCTTGAACCCAAACACCTATCATCTTCTCATCACTGTTTGATCTCTCGCGACTTAGTTTACCGAGGTCTAAGACAATAATAAGCCAGGTATTGCGACAACGGCAGCCTCAGGCATACAATGTTTGAAAATTCGCATCAACAGGAAACATCTTCCCTTCTCTGGCCATGGTTTCTGCGGCAAACTGAAACCGTCGAATCTATCCCTTTCGCCTCTTCCGAAACCTCACGACAAAGTTAAGAGAAGGGTCTGGTTCGGCAAATAACCATTCCATCCTCATCCTCAAGTGACGAAACCTGCCATGGCCGCCAAGCCGTGCTGCCCACTGATTGGTGCACTTTCTCCTTTCGGTCAACGGTAAGCCGACGGAGAACTTCTTGCTCGGTTCATAACAATTTTGTGCGCAGTCATCCCCTCAGGCATCAACATTTCATCCTCGGATTTGGTGTCTAGCGTTGCGACGCGATTGATGCGTTACATAGACCAGTATACGTGGTGGAATCTGCAAGGAACGCTCCAGAAACTATAGGAGAACTCACTGGAATTATGGTTTGCGCCCGACAGGCACAGCAACCAGCCCCATCTACTATTTAAAGTATCAACGCACTAAAAACAGGAGGCTTTAGTGGCTGTTCTTTGATCGACCATCATGCCTTAAGATCATACAAGACAGCTATCACCAATATGACGTGTTTTGCAGTATACAGTTGATACATCTAAGATCTGAACAACAGTGGAGGCGATTTTCTTTAGCACAAAATTCAATCCCTCGCAACTTCGCACTCAAATAGGATACCTGTCCTTCCTGTTCACCCTTTCTGGTACTGTTTCAAGAAGTAGGAAGTACTGCGTTTCTCCATGTTATCTTTCCTCCTATGTTGCCATCCTAAGAAGAGGAGGGAGAGACAAATATGGAAGCAGATTGAAGGTTAGTCTCCGTAATCATCAAGTTGCATCTTCTTAGGACTTGAACCCACGCTTATGTGTGTCCACCAACAGAGGAAGCTGAGCACTTGGATCAGCTTCCATCATGGGATGCTCCCGACAACACATTGATGTTGCAAGCCTTTGAATGGCACGTGCCAGCCGACCAAGGCCATTGGCGTCGTCTTCACCAGGCCTTACCAGACTTCAAGGCGATTGGTGTAGACAATATCTGGATTCCGCCCGGGTGTAAAGCTATGAATCCATCTGGTAACGGGTATGACATCTACGATCTGTATGATCTGGGAGAGTTTGGACAAAAAGGGTCCCAAGCTACCAAATGGGGTACAAAGGAGGAGCTTCAGTCCTTGATAGCTGCCGCCCAGGATATCGGTATAGGCATTTACTGGGACGCTGTTCTCAATCACAAGGCGGGAGCAGATTACACAGAGCGCTTTCAAGCTGTCAGAGTTGACCCACAGGGTATGCCAGCTCTGCCATTATTAGCTCGGGTGCACCTACTAACTTAGGGGCTTTAGAGCGTAATATGGAGATCGTCCCTGCAGAAGAAATAGAGGGCTGGGTGGGGTTCAACTTCTCTGGACGTGGCGACCAATATAGTTCGATGAAGTACAACAAACACCACTTTAGCGGTATTGACTGGGATCAGTTACGTCAAAGGAGAGGGGTCTACAAGATCCAGGGACATGAATGGGCGAACGACGTCGCTCATGAGAATGGAAATTACGATTATCTCATGTTCGCCAATCTAGACTACTCTAACGCAGAAGTACGTCGCGATGTTCTAAACTGGGCCGAGTGGCTCAACTCTCAACTGCCTCTACGGGGTATGAGACTGGATGCCGTCAAACATTACTCAGCTAGCTTTCAGAAAGAGCTTATTGATCATCTCCGAGCTGTTGCTGGGCCAGACTATTTTATAGTGGGCGAGTACTGGAAAGGCGAGAGCAGGCCACTGGTTGAGTACCTGAAGCAGATGGACTACAAGCTATCATTGTTCGATTCCGCTCTGGTTGGACGGTTTTCAAGCATTTCACAGACACCAGGGGCTGATCTTCGCAACATCTTCTATGACACATTAGTACAGCAGTATCCAGATCATTCTGTCGTAAGTTGATTGTTATCTTAATGGGATCTCTTACTGACTACTAGAAGACATTCGTTGCAAATCATGACACTGTGAGTCTGATGTTTCCTTTGACCTCACTCGACTAACTTAGGTCCAAAGCAACCAGGACAATCTCTCGAGGTACGTAAACAGCACATTTTGGCTTAACAGATTTGACACATGGCCAGGCACCAGTAACATCATTCTTTAAGCCCCTCGCATACGCCCTCATCCTTCTCCGTGAACAAGGGCAGCCATGCATATTCTACGGAGACCTCTACGGCCTCCAATCTGACGTCAAAGACCCAATGGCACCTTCCTGCAGGGGCAAGCTGCCCATCCTCGCACGAGCTCGAAAGCTTTACGCATATGGCCTGCAACGAGACTACTTTGACAAGCCGAACTGCATTGGTTAGTACCTGCTTCATTATCCTCTACCGCAGACTGACAGAATAGGTTTCGTCCGCTACGGCAACCGTCGGCACCCCTCTGGTCTCGCATGCGTGATGAGCAACACAGGCCCATCAAGAAAGCGGATGTACGTTGGTCGACGACACGCCAAGGAGACATGGACGGACATTCTGCAGTGGTGTGATCAGACTGTTGTCATTGATCCCAAGGGATACGGAGAGTTTCCAGTTAATGCGATGAGCGTGAGTGTGTGGGTAAATTCTGAGGCTGAGGGGAGAGATAGCCTCACAAATCATTTGTATGTCTTCGCTTGTAGTCTGGGTATTGATGATGTGCTGATGAGTACTGAACAGCGATGAGGATATATACAAACTGGCTTAGTCGCCTGGGATCCATGATATCTATATAATAAAGTACTACCCAAACGATACACTGCAGTCACAACCAGCAATCAAACCAACAACGGCGTATCAAAGCACCCAAACCCCTTAACCACACTCATCTCATCCACATCCGCAAATTTCGTCTTCAACGACCACCCCACAGTCTCATTCCTCAAAATATCCCCCTTCTTCCAAATACACAACCCAAACACCCCCAACTCCGAAACCACATCCGACTCCTCCACCCCCATCCTCGACATCAGCACATTCCGCACAACCGGGGACCTAATCCTCTCCATCAACACATACCTCCCCCACTCCGCTTCCGAACCCATCCTCAAAAGAAACCCCGGGATATCCTCCCCGTAAATATTATGCCCACCGCCTTCCAACGACGGCTTCAGTATATACCTCCACGCTGTCTCATGATTCGTCGCCAGCCCCCGCGCATATCGCCCCTCCTCAGAATCCCCATCCATCGGGTACATACCCACAAACGTATCCCTAATGACATTTACCTTCTCCTCCGAATTAAGAAACCTTTCCAGTACCCCCAGACCCATAATAGCCTGCTGCACCTTCTTAAACGTCAACACATGTCCCAGCACCGACGGACACTTAATAGCCCGCGACTGCTCCAACCTAACCCGACATTCTATCCCCACAGCATCATACTCATGTACTTCGAGCCCAGCGCGCAAATACACAACCGATATCTCCACCGGCTTGCTCCCTTCACCCTGTAAATGCGGATAAAACAGCAATTCCCGGTTCCCACCAAGACAAGTCCTCCCCAACACATCATCCCCCCACTCAACTCTATACGTCGGGACAGGAACATCCCTATCCCACAGCGCATACTCAATAGGTACCTCATCAGCAACGTTAAAGTTATCCGGCTGGACAACGAAAAGCACACCCGTCTTGGTAGCCAGATCACTCCTAACCGGGCCATATATATCATGCGCCGTAGCAAGAGAATCAGCTAAGCCTTTGATATTCTCATTCGTAGGCAAAGAGGATAGCGTAATTGGACTTTTCTCCCTAGATTCTTCCCCGTTCGCACTTGACAAAGAATGATCATACACCCCCGTCCTCGTCAAATACCGATGCATATCCACCACTTTATTCGCATGGCATCCTCCCGCGCACGCGATGGTGTTGAACTCGACTTGCTTGAGCCTCAATCCCGCATTTTCACTTTCTTTAAGGCTGATCCCAACTTCAACTTCAACTTCCTCCTGATCACCATTACCGTTCCCAAAAACATGAAGCATGTAATCCGACCGGAACAACCCCATCGAGATATCTGACCCGTACCCCCCTCCTCTTTTACCCTTCATCCGCAGATGGATCTCCCATAATATCCTCGAGAAGGAGTCTACAGGGAGGAGAGGTCTAATGACGGCATCGTACAGCCAGGACTCGTTGTCTGAGAGATGGGCGTAGAGCTCGTTGTAGATTGGTTGAAGGGTGTGTGCGTGGTGGAATAGGGCCCTTGGGAAAGGGGTGGGGAAGATGCTGGTCGAGACGGGGTAGCTGCTGCTGTTGCTGGTGGTTATGTTGTGGGAGA